TTTTAATTTTTAGTAGAGACAGGGTTTCACCATGTTGGTCAGGCTGGTCTCAAACTCCTGACCTCATGATCCACCAGCCTTGGCCTCCTAAAGTGCTGTGATTATAGGCTGAGCCACCGCACCTAGCCAGAGAGACTAATTTATTACATGGACTCTCCCAGTCCCCAAGACAAAATCAAGAAGGATTAAAGCAATGAAGTTTAGCAGCTTTCACTTGACTTTTTGGGGGGATGCTGTGGGCCCCTGAGTAAATTTTGCAACCTGTTCTTATGAATAACACTTTTGTTTTTCTTTTTAGTTAAGAAGAGTTTTATTGGCCAAAATAAATCTTTCTTTGGTCCTTTGGAGCTGGTGGAGAAACTTTGTCCAGAAGCATCACATATAGCGACTAGTGTCAGAAATCTGCCAGAATTAAAGTGAGTGAGAAATAGTTATGCCGATTTGATGATTTTAAAAACTTCCTCAATTTACCCATTTCTCAATTCCTTGCTGATAAAGCCCTTTCTAATTGGAAAGAGCTCTATTGCTCATTATCGACATGATCTCTAGCAAGATTTGACTCTCTCTGAGCCTCAGTTTTCTTTTCTTTAAAATAGGGACGGTGATTCCTGCTTGCCACACAGGCCAAATGACACCTTTGGTTGTAAAGGTGTTGTCAACCAGAGGGCACTCACAGAAGGAAAAGGAGCTACTGGTACACCTAGAATCACTGCTTCAGATATATGTGGGCAGTTTTCTGAATAATACATTTTGGGCCAGATTGTAGCATCCAGGCCAAGGGACATTTGTAATTTGTTAGGATGGGACTAACAAATTATTTGCCATGTCTGGATTTGCCCTTGGGGTAGCTATGCTTAGGCTCAAAATCAAAAACAGGCCAGAACACAAATAAGTAACCTTCCTGGAATTTGACATCTAGAAAGGGTCTTAGGGATCCTTGAGCCAATGCAAAAGAATCCTCTGCAGAGTTTTCCAGAGGGACTTGGGACTGTTCAGCCTTTATTTGACCCTTCTCCTAGGGAACCAGCCTATTCCATTTTCAGATAATAACAGCCACCACCCTAGGACCTGCTCTATGACAGGCATTGTGCTGTGAACATTCCTTTTCGTTATCTTATTTAATCCTCTGCAACTGCCCTCTAGGATAGCTGTTAGTATCCTCATCTGCAAGTGTGGGAACTGAGACGTAAAGTGGCTAAGTAACTTGCCCACGGTGCCTTGGTAGGTAAGTGATGGGGTAGGAAGAGGACACAGGTCATGGACCCTGAAGCCTTCTAAGTCCCATGAAACTCCATTGCTGCCAAGCCCTGTGCATGCTTCCAAAGATTGGATTTAAACCTTCTATGCCAGTTCTGCCAGCCCAGCCTGTGTTGCTTATATTTAAGGCCTTTTGCACCTGCCAACCTTTCAAATGTTTATTTATTTGATAATGACCTCTTTTTTTTTTTTTTTTTTTTTTTTTGAGACAGAGTCTCACTCTGTCGCCCAGGCTGGAGTGCAGTGGCACAACCTCAGCTCACTGCAACCCCTGCTTCCTAAGTTCAAAAGATTCTCATGCCTTAGCCTCCTGAGTAGCTGGGATTACAGGCGTGTGCCACCACACCCAGCTAGTTTTAGTATTATTTATATAGAGATGAGGTTTCGCCATGTTGGCCAGCTAGTCTCAAACTCCACTTGCAGGTGGACCGCAAGTGATCCACCTGCCTTGGCCTCCCACAGTGGTGGGATTACAGGCGTGAGCCACCGTGCCAGCCTGAATGAGCTCTTTCATGGGCCTCTTAAGTCTACTGCCTTGTTTCTCATACTCTTTCTGCCCAGCTCACTCACTCCCTCAAGAGTAAAGCACCTACACAGACAGACAGTGTCCTGATGTTTTCTTTGTGTTTTGTTTATTTTGTTTTTGAGACGGAGTCTTGCTCTGTCACCCAGGCTGGAGTTTAGTGGTGGGACCTTGGCTCACTGCAACCTCCGCCCAGGCCGTAGTTTAGTGGTGGAATCTTGGCTCACTGCAGCCTCTGCCTCCCAGATTCAAGCAATTCTCCTGCCTCTGCCTCCTGAGTAGCTGGGATTAAGGGGGCCCACCACTACACAGCTAATTTTTGTATTTTTAGTGGAGACAGGGTTTCACCATGTTGGCCAGACTGGTTTCCAACTTCTGACCTCAGGTGATCCATCCACCTCGGCCTCCCAAAATGCTGGCATGAGCCACTGCTCCTGGCTGGTTTTTTGTTTGTTTGTTTCTTTGTTTTAAGACAAGGTCTCTGTCACCCAGGCTAGAGTGCAGTGGTTCAGTCTCACAGTGGTACAGGCTGTCAGCTCACTGCAACCTCCACCTCCCAGGCTCAAGAAGTGATCCTTCCACCTCAGCCTCCCCAAAAGCTGGGACTATAGACTGAGGCAGGAGAACTGCCTGAACCCGGGAGGTGGAGATTACAGTGAGCTGAGATCATGCCACTGCACTCCAGCCTGGGCTACAGAGTGAGACTCTGTCTAAAAAAAAAATACATCTGCACCTAGCAGTTCTACTTGTGCATTTTATCCTACGCCTGTAACACATGAAAATGACACATGTTCAGAATGGTCTGTTGCAGTTGTTATTTGTAACAGCAGATTAGAACCACCCTAGATTTTTTTTAACCCAGCTATATATGGTGCTGTCCAATAAAGACACACTAAAGCTATTCTGTGTACTGATATGGAAAGATTTTCAAGATGACAGATACTCAGTGAAATAAGCAGGTTGAGAACTGCATGTAAAACGTTCAATTTTTTTGTAAAAAGGGAGAAAAATTTATAACTTGTTTTCATGTGTAGAAATATGTCTTGGAAATGAATTTAAACAAAAAACACTATATTAATATATAGGGAAGGGGGATGGGAAGGTAGAGGACAAGGAGAGAAGTATATATCTTTTAATACTGGGTTTTTTTGAAACGGAGTCTCACTGTGTCACCCAGGCTGGAGCACAGTGGCATGATCTGGGCTCACTGCAGACTCTGTCTCCTGGGTTCAAGCGATTCTCACCCCTCAGCTTCCTGAGTAGCTGGGATTACAGGTATGAGTCACCATACCCAACTAATTTTTGTATTTCTAGTTGAGATGGGGTTTCACCATGTTGGCCAGGCTGGTGTTGAGCTCCTGGCCTCAGGTGATCCACTGTGCCCAGCCTACTTTCTAGGTTTCAAACCAAGTGAAGATATTGCCCATTCAAAAATAATGCAGCATTAAAGTGCATATACTGTTTTTGTAGCCTTTTTTCATTTATTCTAGTTAATATTAGATTTTAAATCTCTTTGTGTATCAAATATTCATCTACAGTATCATTTTTTAAATGGCCAAATCATATTCTGTTATATAGCTAATTTAGCCCTTGTGGCTGTCTTCAAATTCTCGGTACCATAAACCATGATAATGATCTGATAACCATCCCCAAACATACATCTTTGTGTCCATCTTTAGTTATTTCCCTAAGATCTATTACTAGATGTAGAATTTTGGTAACCTCTTGTCATCAAATTGCCACTAGAAAATTGCACAATTGGCTGGGCCCAGTGGCTCACTCCTATAA